AAAATTAAATATATTAAAATTTAATTAATATTTTATCTGTTATAAAATATCTGTTTTTTTTATAAACATATATATTTATAGCGATAAATCCGAAATGATATGTGACAAATTTCGATATCCAGTATGTACCATTTCAGTAACAAAATCGGTACGTATGCTTATACAATATTGACAACTTTGGTTGAGTAGCCCTTGTACTCATTCATTAATAAAATTGTTTTGCAGTTCAAAAAAAAAAGATTACACCTTCACCAGTGTGGAGGGTTACACATGATCTTCACTAGTGTGAAGGAATACTTTGGTCAACCAGACGGATGGATTGGATATATCAATAAATAAGTATTATTTTATAAGTTAAATTTATAATTTAAGTTTTAAAATTCATACTTAAAAAAATATATTTTTTAAATAAATTAATTTGTTGTAAAAGATGTGCTTTTAAAATTATCTCGAGAGGTATTATCTTGAGGGATGCAAAACTACACCGGATGATAAAGAGAAACACCAAACAATCCCAAATTATTTAGGCTTTGAAAGCTCTTTGCTTTTAGTTTCCCCCTTCGATTTCATTCCTTAATTTCACTTTAAGGAATTCAATGAAACTCTCTAATATGTCTTGAAGCTCGTCACTTTTCATCATGAGCTGCTGCGCAACTTCTGCGGGAGTAACAGATACTTCTTTAAGAAGATTTTCGATGGCGGCAAAGAGATGGTGATTATCGATTTGCAGGTAAGAGTTTGCAAGCTGTTTGAATACTGCGAAAGTGCAGTAACCCATGTAGATCTCTAGGTCCATCCGTCCTGGACGTAACAGAGCAGGGTCCAACTTGTCCTTGTGATTCGTTGTGAAGATGATGAGCCTCTCGTCTCCAAAGCTCGACCACAACCCATCGGTGAAATTAAGCAACCCAGATAATGTAATCTGGAAAAAGAAAAAAACAAAAAAAAAACCCTTAAAATAGTTTATATTGATGGAACTAAACTGTAACTTCCTTGTAGAAATTAATGAAATTACTTACCCCAGGATCAGAAGAAGAAAGCCTGTTGTCTAGCTCGCCTTGGTCAGGCTCTTCCTGTTCATCTCTAATCTTGGTTCGACCTCGGGATGCTTTTGTGCTGCAATCTATGTCCTCAACAAGTAGAATTGATCGGTTTGTGGTTGAGGTCAGGATACGTCTCAATTCAGCATCACTTCCAACGCTCTGAAGCTGAAGATCGTATATGTTGTATCTCTGGTGATTGGCAATGGCCGCAACTAACGAGGATTTTCCGGTTCCTGGTGGACCGTGCAAAAAGTATCCACGTTTCCAGGTTCTTCCTACTCTCTGGAAAAAGTCCTTTTGTTGAACAAAGGTGTCAAGGTCTTTGATTATCTTCGCCTTGCTCTTTGGGTCCATAGCCAGAGTAGCGAATGTGGCAGGATGCTTGAAAACTGCGGATTTCCACCCACAGATATTTTTCTCGTAGGTATAAATGTGGAGTTTTTCACGCCTTCTAAGGATGCTTCGTGCAGTGTCGGCAATGTGAGGTAAGTAGCTTCTCATTACCTTTTCTCGGTCACTTCGCTTGCACTTGAGTTGGTAGGAGTACCGAACCTCGTCCCGATGGGATCCGGGGGAATTGATGGTCTCTTTATGTAGAGACCACTCCAATTTCATACCCTGGAACTCGTCGATTGTCTTACAGCCAACCGGAATTCTCATGTTAAGGTTGTGAGGGACTAATGAATGGGACCCAATGAGGAGACAATCAGCAGAGGTGCCAATTATGGTAGGCAAATACGTTTCCACAGCACGAAATGTTTGGTTACTCGCTGCTTGCCAGTTTTGCTCAACGATAAGGGTGAAGTTAGGGGAGAAGTAGAACAGTGATTTGGAAAGCTTTGAGAAAATGTAATTTCGTATTTGGCTGGGAAGCATCTCAGACAAGATTGTGCGGAATAGCATGATGGCAGCGGAAAGGGAAGCATAGCCGGAGAGGATGGTAGACATGGAAGGCATAAAAGAAGCCATTGTATCTAATCTCTCAATTTTTTTTTCTTCTTCTTTTGTGTAAGAAACAAGGGCACTTAAGAGTTTATATATAGGATGAATCGGGTGGAAAGATCCTTCTTGTTATTCTTTTTTTACCGTGCGGGTATCTCTAATTAACTTTAGGGCTATCTTAAGAATATTTTTCTTTAAATGATTTTAAAGGTATACTCTCTTTGTATCAATTTAATATATTTAAAAATTTTTATTTTTAAATATTAGTTTAAGAATACTTAAATCATATATTTTATTTATAAAATAATATTTATTTATTAATAAACTTAAAATTTAAAATTAATATTAT